AACAACTCAGGGACTGATATGGGCACATACCCTACCTGGAACAACTCCCACCCCCAAGAATCACAGAGCTGCCACAGGGGACATAAAGGTACCATCCTCTGCCAGAGACCTCTCAAGAGCAACCAAGGCATGTCCTCTGATCTTACAGGTGTACTCCACAGCATCAGCAATCCCAGCTCAGGGCACATAATCTTCAGCCTCTGACTTGAAATAGGACAGGGATAGCTGGGTGGTGGTGCAGACCTTTAATCCCAGCGCTCAGGAGGCAGAGGCAAGCAGATCTTTGTGAGTTCAACGCCAGCCTGGTCTACAGAGCAAGTTCCAGGACAGTAAGGGCTGTTACACAGAGAAATCCTGTCTTGAAAAACCAAACCAAAACAAGTAGAATAGGGAACTCCCTACTCCAGGAGTGGGGCCTGAGGTCTGTGTTTGTACATCAGGATCAAAGGGAGGGGAGGGGAGGGGAGGGGAGGGGAGGGGAGGGGAGGGGAGAAATAAGTAAAAGGTGCCAACTTAGTGACAGCAGATGGTGTGTGAGCTACATTCAGAGTTCACGCAACAACGCCTGTTGGAGGATAACCGGTTGCCCTGATGGTAAAAGGTTGATCTGAATGCCTCAAAGTATCCTTTGGGAAGGTTGTTTAGTGAGCTTTTCCCTCTGAATGGACCATTGTAATATGGAAATAAAGGTCAGTGTAGTCCAACTTGACTTTACATGGAGTCGAACTCCCTGGCAGGAAGCAACACCCTGTCCTGGGTCAGTGGCTACATGGCAAAGGATACCACTGCATCAAAAAGCAAGCAAGAGAGAGAGGGACAGAGAGGAGGAGGGGAAGAAGAAAGAAATCCATCTTTTCTGTTTCAAAGTGACAAGGGCTTCCCAAAACGGTAACAGGATAGAAAGACAGTGGACATCAAAGGGACATAGAAAGGAGCCCTTCGCTTAGGAAGGAGTTTTTGCTTGAAGTCTTTCTCTAGCTGAGAGTCAAGAATTTCAGTATAATTAATAAAAATCTCCTGTGGAGATTAACTACATAGGGACAATTTGTTTTTATACAGAGATATTTCAAGTAAGAGTATTATAATATGGTAACAGATCACGCTTGAGGCCTAAGCATGTATGGCTCTGTTGCAACAAATCATGCTTGACGCCTAAGCATGTATGACCCTGCTGCAACAGATCATGCTTGAGGCCTA